GGATTGATGAAATAATGATCAAATCTACATTAATTTTTTTAATTCATTCTCCAACTTTCGCTTACAGATGTCTAAACGTATTTTCTTTGATACAGCTGTATTTTAAAAATAGCTCATTCAAATTACATCAATGCTGAATTAAATTAGCCGAATGATGTACTTCTCGAATGGTCCATACTCAATAGTTAATGTTGGCAAATATACGAATCCTTTTATTGAAAGAATCAGCATATGTCCCAAGATGAATGTTTATAATTCAATAAATATTTGCAGTTTTTGTAATAATTATTTACAGTTTTCGTAATAAATGTTTACAGTCTGATATCCATTCTGTTGATGTCCAGAATGGTTTATTTATTTAGACTACTTAAAATAAAATATTTTTAGAGAAATGCAAACTGTTTGGTTAGGATGTTTACTATAAGAAGGCTAGTTTTCTGATTCCATTTACTTACACCTTGAATCTTATCCAGTCATCCATAAAATAAATAAGCAGTACATAACATTTCTTCTGTTTAATTTTATTATTTATTCTGGTTCGATTCTTTGATACAGTCCCAACTCATATTATGTTTTTATTAAATTATTATTGAATATTGATGTTATTGGTATTATTCACTTGAAATAAATATATTGCTGATCACCAAAATTTTCTCATATTAGATATTATAAAATATATTGGATTAACTGAGACTGTCTTATGATATATGTATTTTATAACAGACTAATCATATTGCAATATTTTCTTTTCTTTTCGGAATGTTTTTCTATATTTATAATTTGAGTATTACTGTCACCATTTTACCCTACCTACTATCATCATAAATGCCCTTCAATCTAGGTCCAGCGACACATTATAATAAAAATATTGATTAAATATTGAAATAAAGTTAAATATTGCCTACTAACCAACTAATGTTTTTATATATTTCAAATACTTTAAGCGTTATTACTGCAATTTTATTCTGAATATAAAAAGGGTCGTTTTTATCACTCCTTAGTCGTTGCTATAATCTGTCTCTTATCTGGTCTTCATTTGGTAAATTCACTTTATATAATTTTGCTTAACCATTTTTATGGAACTGATAATTCATTGCATTGAATTATTCATCCATTGAAAATTGTGATCCATCATTGCATAGATTGTTTAATACTATAATTAATTTTTACTTCTAACCTACTTACATTTAATCCATGTCATATTCGTTACTTTAGTGCTACTATATATATATTCGTATACACCTTGTTTTTTTTTTTTATTTTATTGATTTAAAATTCTTTTTCTGTTTGATTTTATTCCCATTATTAAAGTCTTGCCAAGAATGGTTACAGATTTTTTTATGTAACCCCTAAGTTTTGATTTTAGTAAAGTAACATAAATGTTAATCATCTTAGTTAAGTATTTAATAGGTATCTTGTCTTTTGAATTGGAGGACTAAAACGTTGGTATTCGCTAAATGGTTTCATGGTATTTATTATATCATTTGACCTCTATCCGTTAATGATTTTCTCCTAGTATAAATACCAAGGTAAATGTTACACTTAACAAACTATTATAAACACCTTTTTATAGTTATTAAACAAACATCGATTTTGTGTTGTGTAAATCTGCAAGTCAGATTTGAAGTCTATTTGTATAAGTTCTTATTGTTAGAGGAATTTATTGTGTAGTTATTACTGCACAATGATGATTATTAAAATGGTTTTTATTACACTAATTGCTATAATATAGTATCATTTTATGGTTTTGACTTTTAGGCTTTCAGCCATTTTCTTCTTTAATAACTCTTACTTAATAGAAAATTGTTTTTGTTTATTAAAAAAACGTTTATTTTTTATTGCTTATGTCTGCAAGCATTTAGATTTGAATTCTATTTGTTGTTTTTTTCTATGGCTAGAAGCACCTCGATCATGAATGCCTATTGTGCGTCAGATACATATACGTTACTATTACATGTCGTTAGACGGATTCCTTCAATTAATTTTATAATGAAGAAAACTATTATGTTTCTCAAATTTTATTTAATAAATAATTGCATGTTATATGCTATCTTTTCGTTTATTTTCTTCAGTTCGCCCTTCCTGTAAATCCTTTCATTTCCCGCAATTGCAGATGTTGTTGACACACTTGCCAGTCTTGTAGCCCATTGCAATACAGTGAAGTGCGCAGGCGGACCATTTTGAGGAGTTGAGGACGTTGCAAGTGGTTCTCTTCAATCTGGCTCCGTGTTCTTCCGTATCTATGCCATATAAAATATAATATAATTTATAAATTACCATCAATAAAATATATAATATGTCTCTCTTTATCTTACCTTCTAAAGGTAATACTTCGAAGTCAACTTCTGGAAGTGACCTTTGCTCCCTAAGAAGTTCGTCTTTGATCATAAAGTAATATGTCTCAAAATAGTTTTAAATAAAAAAATACTGCATAATCAGACAGAAAAAAATACAAAATAAAAAGGGAGGAATGACAATAAAAATTGTATGTGAGTATTTATTTCAAAGTATAGATTAGTATTCCGCGATAAAGTTTAAAATCACTCCTTACGTAAAGACTTTATTTTCCAATATTATTTGAAATCTTATGCCATTAGAATAAAGTAATTCTCAATGGAATCTTACCACTCTCTTTGAGATCCTCGAAGACAGGAAGGGCTGAGGCTACACAGACTGCAACAGCAACGAAGACGATGAAACTATTCATCTCTGAAGAGTTTAGTATCGTACCGATGTCCGGAGAGTGATGTCCACTGGCCGCTGTTGAGGAGTTATATACCCCAACCATCTGCGTGTAGTTCACAGCAGTCTATATTTCGGTAGACAACTACTGCAGTTCTATGGATTTCGTTTTACAAATATTTTTTGTTGATGTTTTTAAACAATGACAGTTATTTAATCATTTTTTCTTCCTTCCTACCTATGGAAGTGTTTCTTTTCATGAGGGAGTTTAAAATTGTTTTTTCTCAGAATCAAAAATTTTCACTCGCATTGTTCGTTTTATACATCAAAGAATTATTTTAGTTCCATATTTATCCGTTCATCTATCAAAAGTCAAATCCATGCTACGGGCATATCATCTACTGCTGCTAATCTAATTTTGATGACATTTTCATAATAAATTAATAAATATATAGATTTCATTAAATTATATCCGTTACTTTCGCTTACGCATTACTGTAATTTCTTTGTCTCCCTCTCCTATGTTTCAAGATATTCATTCACCACAAATAGTCCGAGGTACAGACTGCAACATTTATTATATTATATTATATTTCAATACTGCAATCACCTATTCTGGTATCAACTTATTCACTATCAGTATAGTTATTATTAATTTTCCAACTAGAAGTATTACTAAAATGACATTGCTCAGAAAGGTTGAAATTGGAGTTATCTACTCTCAGGTTTATAGATGAAAGTTGTATGATGCGCGCACCGCACCATATTTTTATCAATAGGTCAGTGGTCATTTTGTTAATAATCGAGGTGTCGCTAAAATAGGCTACCATATCTTATAGGTGTATTGTACATCCTGATCTTTTTTGCATTACTGGTCAGCCAATTCCTCAGTACCAATCATGGACACGCCCAAATAACCTCGGTTATCATACTTTATTCTTGTTTTTGTTGCCATTATTGATTTTTTTCTTGTTTTTTTGTTGTTTTTTTTAGATTTCTATCTGTGTTGTTTTATTTTCATTATTAAATTCTAATCAAATAAGCTAGGATTTTTTTTATTTATGAAACTCTTACATTTTTATTTTACTTTGATGATGATGATGATTATTTAAGCATTTCATATACTTAGTTAAGTAATTCATTAAGTATCTCTTGTCTTCTGAACTAAAAGACTACAAAGTAGGCGTATTCGTCTAATAGTTTCACGGTATTTACTTTATGATTTTAACCTTTATCCGTTTAAAATTTTTCTGCTACCATAACAACTGCAGTCCGTGATACAGACTCCTTTTTATCAAATTATTAACACCCACATGAAACTTCGTAATTAGCTTCATTTTATGGTAACCTACAAATATTTTATTTGGAGGTCAGCAAACTTTATCTACTTAATTATATACGAAAAATTCGTAAATACCCATTTTCTTTCCACTTCAATTGTAATATAATTTGAGCTCGAAATCTAGAAAAAAGGTGGCCTTAAAAAATATTGAGCAGTTTGGCGAGCCCTACTTGACAACCAAAATGTCAAAATAACGAGATTATATAGACCAAGCGACCCAATATTTTTGTAGGCTACATTTTTTCTCGATTTTGTGATCAAATTATCTTATGATCCAAGTGGAAAGCAAATGAGTATTTACGAGTTTTTGGTGTCTGATTAAAGAAACAAAGTTTGCCGATATCCAGATTGAAAACACTTCAATGTCAAGAGTTTTCGTAAATAAAATATTTGTAGGTTACGATGAGATGAAGCTATTTACGAAGTTTCAGGCGGATGTTAATAATTTGGTAAAAAGGGTCTGTACAGCTGACTACTGGTACACAGTTCTTAGAAACTTTTTGAAATTATCAAATTGACACCGATTCTGCATTTTGTCTATATGGTAGCGGTAATTTAATTATGTATGTATTAAGTACTTATAGTTTGAAAGATTACGTAAACAAATTATTCAATATTTATTATTAAGAACAACAATTCATTTTTTTAAACTTTATTGAATAAATAATTACATTTAATATGCTATCTTTGGATTTATTTTCTTCAGTTTGCACTCTCTGCAAACCCTTTAGTTCCTGCAATTGCAGATAGTTTTGACACACTTTCCGCCCTTGTAGCCCTTTGTAAGACAGTGGATGGCGCAGGCTGAATGGTTCACCGTCAGCCACTTGGAAGAGAAGCTGAGGGCGTCGCAAGTGGCTCTCTTCAGTCTGGCACCGTGTTCTTCCGCATCTGTGACAAATAAAATATAATATAATAAGTATATTACCATAACTAATAATATTAAATATAAAATATAGCAAGCTCTTTATCGCACCTTCCAAAGGTACCTCTTCGAAGTCAGTTTCTGGAAGTGACCTTTGCTCCCTTAGAAGTTCGTCTGTAATCACAAAGTAATACGTCTCAAAGTAGTTTTAAATTAAATTTAAAAAAAAAAAATTGGATGCGTTTTTACAATATTATTAACAAATACCTTGGAATAACTGAACATTTTCGAATTCGTTGCCTGGAAGTGATCTTATGTGCCTCAGTAATTCATCTGAAAAACAGAATTCTAAATATCGTATTTGAACTCAACACCACACATCAAAATTAATATTTAACAAAATAATTGCGATGCTTACCAGCAACTGGTGATTCTTCGTACGCACCATAACCCAATTCTATAACAGATATTAAAATTTATATAAACTGATTTGCAGTCAAAGAAAAATAAACCAAGAAAAAGATTAGATATGCTATAATTTACTAAAAAATCTTAAACATTTTATAGAAAGTGTATAATACATAGGTATTTTTCTAAAACAAAAGATTTTCTTATGTCATTTCCTATTTAATTCTTTTCAAACGTTTGAAAACTTGACGGCTGTTGGACGTAAATAAGTTCTCAACGCCACAATTAAGCCAAAAAAAAAACACCTTAATCCTAAACAGGAACATTTTAGTATATTTGTTGATTGAAATTAATTTAAATCAACTAATTCAACATATCAAATATCGAAAAATCGCATGAGCACATATATTTCAAAGTATTTTCTTATTTAATTGAAATTTATTTGTAACATAAATAGATATTGTTTGTCATTATTTTCAGTTAAAGAAAAATTTATTTATTTTCAATTGGAATCGTGGTTAGTGTCTATGTTGATTTGGAAATAAAAATAAATTTCATAAATTAAAAAAGCAATACAAATAAGAAGAAAATATGTTTTGTTTTGTTTTTAAGTTAAATTGTATCTGATTATTTATTTCAAAGTATCTAAAAAATGACTTCTGATTTATACATGATTATATATATAGCTTTATATTGTTAGCAATTATTAATTAAATTAAACCGTTATTCAAAACATTCTTACCACTCTCTTGGAGGTCTTCGAAGACCGGAAGGGCTGAGGCTACGCAGACTGCTACAGCAGCGAAGGCAATGAGGCTATTCATCTCTGAAGAGTTTGGTATCGGCTCGATATCCGGAGAGTGATGACCCTCTGGCCGCTGTTGAGGGGTTATATACTACCCTCACCGGTCTCACTGTGGTTCACAGTGGTCGGTATTCCCTAAGAACACTCCTGCAGTGGGGATTCTGTTTTGCAGATATTTTTTCTGTTTATGTTCTGAGCAATAAGAGGACAGTTATCAGTTTATATATAAGTTTTTATATATTATGCAGTAGTAATTATTATAATAATTTTTTGAAATTGGGATTATACAATTATAGTAAAGAAGGCAGGGAAGTTTTGTACTCCGGAGCTTATGTACCCTCAACCTGGAGACAAATTTTGTTCCTTGTCTTTCTGTAATCAACTCCATGTCATAGACGTGTCACTTGACATCATTAATCCGTTTTAGGTGAAATTTTCAGAGAATAATTTTAATTTTTCTGTCGCGGATTTGATCAGATTTTTTTGTTGCTGGCTACTTTGGCTGGCGATACCGTAATCCTCAGTTCAGATAAAAATCCTGTTCGAGTATCCACCACTCTTCAAAACAACTTGAACGATATTGCTGATTGGGCCACAAGGTGAAAATTAAAATGAAAAAAAAAAAGTGTGTATGAAATATTCACTCTTAATCACACACCTTCCCCCGAAATATATTTTAATAACATTGAAATCTCTGCATCAGATGTAATTAAATGTTTAGGTTTTTGCTTGGACAAAAGAATAAATTGGAGGACACCCATCAGACCGTATGGAATTAAACAGATGACACGGTCTTTTATCTAGCTTACTTGACAGACGTTCAAAATTATTTTTGAATAACAAACTAACCTTCTATAAAGTTTTACTTAAACCAATTTGGACTTATGCCATAGAACTGTGGAGTTCTGCTAAAACTTCCAATATTAAAAAAATTCCGTCCTTCCAATCCAAAATTTTACGAAGGATAGGATAGGGAGGATGTGAAGCTCCCAAAAAATTTGCTCATTGCAAAGAAATTTGCAGATCGCAAATTTAATAATTTTTGTTTATATTTTTTGTTTATTATTTTCAATAATTTCATTACCTGTTTCAAGCCAGTGCCTAACGCAGATGAAATTCTCTTCTGGGACCTTTTGGAATTGTTGTAGCCTAGCTTTTAAAGTGAGAGTAAAAAGATGAAACCTCAAGAAGTATCTTGTTCACTATAAATCGTTTTATCGCAGGTGACCGTAAATCAATAAACAATTAATCTTCGTTTTTATGCTTAAAATAAATGTTTACGTTCTTCTTAGCACAAAGAAAAACTATTTTTTCTATATCTCCCTTGTTATTAGATCATCAAACCTCGCTGCAAAATCTTATAACAATAAGTTTATTGAAAGCTACAGTTATGAGCTTTACCTCTACCTATAGTCAGAAATAAAAACCAAAATGTTACTTAAAACATAATATCTTATTTTTTTAATCATATAAAAATTGAACACAAATTGAAAAGTTCATGACAGAACAGAAAATTGCTTTAAGTAAAAAACACGTTTTTTTTGTACTCTCAATATTTTTATATATGCAACATAGCTGTCTATCATTATATTTATTTACTTAGACTATTTTTATAACGAATTGTTATCCTTTTACTGTAAGAATTAGAATTGCTGTACCCCTGGAAATTACTTTCAAATTAGAATTTTTCTTGAATCTTTATATCTGTACTCCGGAGGTATAGAGTACTATGTCTTTTTTTTTATTAGTCCAGTGGAGCCAACGTTTCATAACTTTGAGCTATTAAAATATATTTCTTTGTTGCTAAATCTGTATCACGGAGATAAATGAAGCCATGTCATATTTTTATATTTGTTCAGGAAAGCCAATTTTCCATAACTTTAAGCTATTAAAATTTATTTCTTAGTTACTAATTCTGTACTCTAGAGGTAAAGAACACCATATAAACATTTTTATATTTGTTTGGGAGCAAATTTTTTATAACTTTGAGCTATTAAAATTTGTTTCTTAGCTACTAAATTCTTGAGAAAAAAAATTCTTTACCGCAGGGCACAGATATAATCGTTGAAGTGTCATTTTATTTAGCCTCGGCTCACGAATCAATAAATATAATAAAATAAATGCAAATAAATATTTATTCGTGGGTATAAGACTTAATTAATCCAAAAGTAAAATATTGCGGTCCATTTTTTCTTCCATGTTGCCATCTGTTATTTTTTGATTCAATTTTTTCTTCTTCTTTCTATTATGAATGATCAATCAATATTTCGAATATGCGTAAAATAATGTTTTACAGACCTGTAAGTCGAATTTAATATTATCCTACAGATAATTATATATTATCCACATTGTTTATGTGTAAAAATATGTGAACTCGCACAGCAGAATTTATCTATAATTTCATGTCTACCAGTGCCTTTTTTTTTTTTTTTTTTTTTTATAATTTTAATTTTAGATTTAGATAACCTTGTAATTTAATTTATTTCTAATGCCAGACTATTGTCATTAAATTGTACATTATAGTCATTCTAAGGCAACTTAGTCCCAGAATAAAATTTACCTTTCTTCTTTCTATACATAAATATAATTGGAATTTTACAGTTTCAAGTAAAAAATATTTTAGATCTGATCTCATCTTCCAATCCTTACTTATTAATTCTCTTAGGTTCTATTCATGTTGGTATATTTTTAATTGTATAAGATGTTCATTTAAAACGTTTGTGCAGAGCTGGATGTGCCATTGTTCAACAATTTTAAACTTTTTTCTGAATTGTGACTTTTAACATCTGTGAGATTAGCTATCGATATCGGCAAAATGTAAATTCATCTCTTTAACAACTGTGGCCACTAATCTTGGCACCATTATTATTATTGAATTTTAATCATTTTTATAAATAATTCCCATCTTGAAATACGGTATCATATTCACTAAAGACTATCGAACTGGTAGCTTAGTTTATATTTTTTTTTCATTAACTTGATATTTCTCGATCACGTAGTTCACAAAATCCACATGACCTCTGGCAGGTTACACTTCTTAGAAACCGGTGATTCCCATAAGTTTATTGACAAGATTGCTGTATTTTCTTTGTGTCAACAACCCCTAACGATTTTCCAAGGGGATTGGTCCAGTTTAGGGAGAGGATATCGAAAACTCAATATAAATATTAATATTGGCATATAACTATCGATACCATAAAAATCGACCTTGAAATATCGATTTTATATTTTTATCTATGTATAAACATTTTTAAAATATGAATATCAATATAAATATTGATTATCTAGCACATAGACGAATAAAAAAACATGTTATTTTCCTCTTTAAATTAATTAATGGAAATATCAATTATTCTACCCTCCTTAGTAAAATTAATTGTCTAGTTTCTATCCTTCTAAGCCATCCCGGAAATTCCCATTCATCCAAATATGCCTTCCATTTACCAATAGATCGGACTCAGAAAAATACAAATTACTTTGCATCCCACATAGATTTATTTGACAATTCCTAGGTTTTATACTTAGATTTTTTGGACGTGGCCTTGGTTTGGGAAGGTTCTAACTAACAAATATGAGCAAATTGAGTTTACTGAGTGAGAAGGATTCAACTCTACTTAAGAAGAATCGACAGTCGATATTATCGATATGTCGATAATTTCCTCTTCCACGCACTGCATTCTATATTATATGAAACAGGCAAGATGAGTATATTTTTTTTTAACGACAAGATTCATATATAATTCCTAACGCTTTTCTAAAACCATAGCTATGATTTTTATTTTTAAATTTAAATGTTAAAATGTCGAAGGGAAGTTATGGTTAGTCGATAATACCGAATATCGGAAGAAAAATATCTGTATTTCGATAATATCGACTATCGATGGCTACCCCTAATCCAGCAATTTTAGGAAACTATCATTGTTTTTTTTTAGCTATTGGTAACAAATGAACTAATTTTAAATATGTCATGCAACCGTTTTCTTTTGAATAGAAGGATTACTATTTTTAAAGTAAAGTAACTGGCCGAAGAATATACTCGTTTATGGTTGGTTAGGTTTGTTGTATTGATGGACTGAACTGACAGAGTTTAAAAAATCTTGAAATCCAAGCTTCAGTCCCGGATAAGTGGAGGGGAGATTACTTTTAATTGTTATAGTAGGCTAGTTAACCTAGGTTCCGCTATCAATGTATCATAGGCGCAGGGCTACGGGGGAGTGATAGGGACAATAGCCACTCTCTCCCTCCCCCCGATAAAAATAGAGAGAGGGCGAGAATGTTCCCTCCTCCAATATTTCGAAGAAGAAGAAGAACTAAAAAAAAATAAAATAAAAACCATGTACTGTAATGTACCATTACAACCCATGAAGGGTCTTGGGTTCAGTATTATTTAGGTAAACCACTGTTTCTTGGTCTTCGGTTGTGCAGGGAGGTGATTTGACCGAGATCATGCTCAATCGCCAGGTTTTTCCCCTCAATTAATTATTTTAATTATTGGTACCGACTTTATAGAGGCTGGGTGTGCCCCAGTAGGGTCTACCTACTCAGGGTCGCCCCACAGCCAATGAAACAGAATAAATAATTTTTCTGCCATGAGCCGGGATTCGAACCTGGGATTCGGGACCTGTAGCATTGCATTGGAATCTCAATAGTCTACCACTGAGCTACCCCACTCCCAAATTATGTAAACTAAAATTAATTTAGAAAATTGGAAAAGTCGATCAGATGGCTAAGCAAGTATTTTACCACGCCCTATATACCAATTATATATAGGCTCTACCCTCCTCCCCTCCCCCCTCCAAATCAGAATGAAAAGTCTGCGCCTATGCAATGTATATTCCTAATTTTTATCTAAAATTAAACAATTTTTAATTTCTGAAGAGATGAATAGTTTGGGTGATCAGTAAAAAAAAAAAATAGTTTTTACTGATCACACCAACTATCCTACTCTTCAATTATTCATTACAGTCAATCCTCAATCCACAATTTTTAATATCCTTATATGTTTATAAACAACTATACTTTAAAAAAAATAATCTTTTTTCAATTATATTTTGTTATATTACTTATAAGGAAGAGTTATAATGGTTTAAGGTAATATAAATGAAATGCATTAGTTTTTTTTTTTTTTTTATCCCTTTAGTCTAACCTTTCGTCAAATAACTTTGACAATGAGACATTTAAAATTATTCATCTCAATTATTAAAAAAAAAAAAGTATTTTATTTTAAACTTAATTTAAACAATTGACAAACGTTTAACATGGATTGTGTGACAATGAGATCGATATTGAAGACTTTTTTATTTTTTTATTTTATTAAATAAATGAGATATTAACTACCAGAATAAATTGTCTATGAAGATGGATCAAAAACGTAAAACGTCAGACTAAAGGAACAAAAATAAAAAATTACAATGAAAGAGATGCCTTTCATTTATAAAACTTATATTAATATTTTTTTTTAAATAGTAAAATGGGTAGTAAATTACAAACATGAATACTGTACACATTTTACTTATATTTAATCTTTAGCTAAGGTTTATCATATTTGTTGATTATTTTTATTTTCGTTCAAATGTATTTGTTATTTAAACAATATCTTCCCTTTTAAAATTATTTAAATAGCTGAGCTTATATTTATCTGTCTTTTTGAAAGTAATTATTACAGTTCCACTTTTATCTTGATGTCTAATGTTGTAAACTCGACCAATCAGAATTTCAATCATCACTCGGCATGTCATTCCGCCTGACTTTGTAGGGTCCAGGTTAATGGTTAATGTTTTGTTGAAGGGTAATGATCAAACAAGTTTTTTTTATTGCATTCATTATTAATAGATATTGCACCAGATCCCCACTGCTTGGTGTCTCAACGTCAACAGAGCTTAAATGACAGCCTGACTGAACATGATTGAATTAATAATCTTAAGACTGTTATTCCTGATTGAAAATGAAGGGTCCCCATTAGGCTTCTGACCGGTAGTAATATTGCGTTTAGCTGAGACCTGCAGTCTTATTGTACGTCATCAAACGGTCACATTCCATGAGGGGCAGGTACCCTGAGAAGAATGGGTCCCGAAAGCAGGTACATGAAGGAAGTCTGGGCCCAGGATGTTGGGTGTGGCGGTCCTCAGTAAGGGCCTGTCCCTCTTAGGGCCGACATATGTCTTTG